AAGAGAAAAGGACGATGCTGAACCCTCTAGCAGCAGCAACTGCAGCAGCAACTGCAGCAGCAGCAGCAGCAGCAGCAGCAGAGTTTTCCCGCAGCGCAGAGCAATTTCAAGACAAGACATGGATGCTGCATCAACAGCAGCAATAGCCGAAGCAGCAGCAGCAGCAGCAGCAACAGCAACAGCAGCAACATCAGCAGCAGCAACCCGCCAGCTGCTGCACTCTGCTGCTGCAGCATTGAATGCCTCCCCTATAGGGATGATGACCGCGCAGCATCTTGTTGCCCTTGGCTATTTCCTTGTAGGCAACAGCAACAGCAGCAGAAGCAGCAGCAGCAGCAGTAGCCCTAGCAGCAGCAGCAGCAGCATCCCTACCAGCAGCAGCAGAAGCAGCATTCAACAGTGGCGCGATCTGCTGCTATGTCGCCATCTGCTGCTGCGTCTTCTTGTCTTGCTGCGAGAGCACAACAGAAACGTGCACACCCAACAGCAGCAGCAGCAGCAGCAGCAGCAGCAGCAGCAGCAGCAGCAGCAGGTGGTCAATGCGCAGCAGCTAACACAGATATTAAAAAGTCTCGCTAGGCTTCGCATATTTGATCGTTTGCTGCAGATGCCTCTGTCCCCTCCTGCTGCTGCTGCTGCTGCTGCTGCTCCTGCTGCAGATGTTATTTCTGTGCCTAATGCTGCTGCTGCCTCTTATGATGATGCTGCTGCTGCAGCCGCTTCCTCTGTTACTCCTGCGTCTGCTGCTGCTTCTGCTGCTGGTGGGCCTCCTGTTGTTATTAGGCCTGCTGCTGCTCTTGCTGCTACTGCTACTACTGCTGCGGTTGCTGCTGCTGCTGCTGCTGAGATACAGACGGGAAGCAGCAGCAGCACAGACAGCCCAGTGCTCACTGCAGCAGGAGCTCTCTTCCCTGCTGCTTTTTACCGGCTGCTTGAGACAGACAGCAGCAGCAGCAACACCAGCAGCAGCAGCAGCAACAGCAGCAGCATGCTGCAGCCGGACGGCACGGTTGTTGGGGTACCTGAACAACAGCAGCAGCTGCTGCGGCAGCAGCTAAAGCAGCAGCAGCAGCCGCAGCAAGAAGATGCTCCTTGGCGCTTGGCTCTATTAGGACCTGACACATGGAGTTCTTCCCAGCAGCAGCAGCAGCAGCAACAGCAGCAGCAGCAGGAGGTTGGGGTAGACGTTGAGGACCCTGCTGCTGCTGCTGCTGCTGTATTTGTTAGCCATATTGCTTCCTCGCTAGCAGCAGAGCTGTCTCTAATCTTTGGTAGAGACCTCCGCTGCATGCTGCAGCAGCAGCAGCAGCAGCAGCAGCAACAGGAGGAGCAACAGCAGCAGCAGCAGCATGGGAGGAGGCTGCAGGGTATTTTCTTTCAACCTCAAGAATTAGCTCGTGCTGCGCTGCACTGTGCTGTCCTCTTCTACCCCTGGATGCGCAGCAGCAGCAGCAGCAACAGTAGCAGCAACAGCAGCAGCAGCAGCAGCACCAACAGCAGCAGCAGCAGCAGCAGCAGCAAAGGTGCATTAAAGGAAGAAACACAAAGTGCTGCGCTGCTGCTGCAGTCCTTGTGGGGTCATTTGCTGCTGCGCATGCAACCACACTTTAATGCTAAGTAAGAAAAATAAATAAATAAATAAATAAATAAATAAATAAATAAATAGATAAATAAATAAATAAATAAATAATTTATTTGTTTTATTTAGTAAGGTGATGCAGCGGATTTGGTGTTGCTTTTTATGGTTGTATAATAATATTCTTATGCTTATACAAAACGATGCTGCTGCTGCTGTTGCTGCTGCTGCTGTTGCTGCTGCTGCTGTTGCTGCTGCTGCTGTTGCTGCTGCTGCTGTTGCTGCTGTTGCTGCTGTTGCTGCTGCTGGTGCTGCTTGTAGGTGTGCAGCACTTGCTGCTACAGCGCTTGGCTATTCAGACGTCCCTCCGCCATCTTGTGTCCTTGTAGGCCCATGCTGCTGCTGTTGCTGCTGCCGTTTCTGCTGCTGTTACTGTCTCTCCTGCTGCTGTTGCTGCAGTGGCTGCTGTTGATATTGGTGGTGCTGCTGCTATTCCTGCTGTTGCCTCCTTTCCTGCTGCTGCTGCTGCTGCTGTGTTCTTCTCCTGTTACTAATGTTGGTATTCCTCTTCTGTTGCTGCTGCTATGCCCTGTGCTGCTGCTGCTGCTGCTGCTGCAGGAAGGATTTGCTGCTGCTCTCTCCCTCAATATAAATCGTCAGGTGTATCCGCTGCTTCCTTCTTATCTACAAAATATTTTATTTTTCTTAGCAAAAAGAAAAATAAATAATCAGCATTTGTTGCTGCAGGCGCTTGCTGCTACAGTAGGCTGTTGCTGCTGTTGCTCCTATTGCTGCTGCTGTTGCTGTTGCTCTGCTGCTGTTGTTGTTGCTTTTGTTGTTCCTGCTGCTCATACGTGTATGCTAGTGGTGTTGCTGTGCTGCTGCTTGTGCTGCTGTTGCTGCGCTGCCATTCGTGCTGCTGTTGCATGCACTTCTGCTGCGTTGAGTCTTTATCTCTTTACTGCTGTTGCTGCTGTTGCTGCTGCTGCTGCTGTTGCTGCTGCTGCAGGTGGCGATAAAGGCTGAAGGTTGTGACCTAAAGACTACCCTTTCTCTCTTCCTCTCGTTAGACATCCCCTTGGCCTGTTGCTGCTGCTGCTGCTGTTGCTGCTGTTGCTGTTGCTGCAGCTGCTGCAGCTGCTGCTGGTGCTGCAGCTGCTACAGTTGCCAGTTGTTGCTGTCAGTGTGTCTCGTGCTGCTGGGATTGTTGCTGCTGCGATTGCTGCTATTGCTGCTGCTGTATCTGCTTCTTCTGCTGCTGCTGCTGCTGTTGTTGCTGCTGCTGCAGCTTCCGACGCCTGGGTTGCCAGCATCTCGTGGAGGCTCCGTTGCTGAGCCGTCTGGAGGTCTTAGACCGTGGGCAAACCCTAAACCCTAAACCCTAAACCCTACACCCTAAACCCTAAACCCTAGTTGCTCAATTCTCCTTGCTGCTGCTGATACCTAAACCCTCTAATGCTGCAGCAGCAGAATGCTTCGAGGGCAAACCCTCAACGGCCAAACCCTAAACCCTAATAAACCCTAATATAAACCCTCGTAAACCCTAAACCCTAATAAACGCTAATATAAACCCTCGTAAACCCTAAACCCTAAAAAGGTATGATTGATTAGTGTTGTTGTGTTGTGTGCAGCGGCAGCAGCAGAAGCTCTGCGGTGTATAGGCACCTCATCTGCAGCAAAAGGGGAAGAAGGACTAACAGCAGCAAAAGTATTTAATGGCAGCAGCAGCAGCAGCAGCAGCAAAACCATCGAACAAATACTACGATGTAAACAAACGCAACAAAACATAAACACCCTGTAGTTGTTGCTGTTGCTGCATATACTGCTGCTGCTGCTGCTGCTGCTGCTGCTGTTGCTGCTGCAGTCTTATGTACACGCCTAGCTTAGGAATCTGTGCTCTGACTGTTCTTGTGGGTGAGGAGAATACGCACAGACAACAGCAGCAGCAGCAGCAGCCTGGAAGCAGCAGCAGCAGCTTAGCAGCAGCAGCAACAGCAGTAAAACTGAAGACGGCTGATGAGGGAATTTAGTCAGACTTTGCTGCCAGTTGTTGAGCTGCAGCAGCAAAAAAGAAGCAGCAGCAGAACAGCAGCTGCATGCGCTGCTACTGCTACGTTGCTGTTGCTGCGGGACTCTGCAGCAGCAGCAGCAGGTGTTGCTGTAACAACAGCAGCAGATCCGAAGGAACCGCTGTTACAAATACAGATGCTGTTGCTGCTACTTCTCCTGCTGCTGCTCCTGCTGCTGCTCCTGCTCCTGATCCTACTGCTGTTCTTCTTCCTGCTCCTGCTGCTCCTGCTGCAGTTTGCATGCATTATCCTTATCTATAGAATTAATAATATATTCAGTAAGACGAAGGAAGGCAGCAGCAGCAGCAGACTCTGGATACTTCTCTACTACAGCAAATCCTTCTTCGCACGCCTGCAGCAACTGCAGCAGCAGCAGCAGCAGCAGCAGCAACAGCAGCAAACAGCAGCAGCAAGAGATATGAGTAAAGAAAGACTGGAGAATAAGCAAATAAATTAATTAATTAAACAAATAATAAATAAATAAATAAAATAAATAAAATAAATAAATAAATAAATAAATAAATAAATAAATAAATAAAATATATAAATAAGTAAATAAGTAAATATATAAATTAAATAGATGAATAAATGAATAAAATAAATAAATAAAATAAATAAAATAAATAAATAAATAAATAAATAAACTAATTAATAAAATAAATAAATAAATAAATAAATAAATAAATAAATAAATATACTTCTTTCTCTAAGGCGATTCTTCCTGCAAATGGTACTCCCATGTCTTCGCACATTTGCTGCACACAAATAAATAAATAAATGAATAAATAAATAAATAAATAAATAAATAAATAAATAAAATAAATGATTAATAAACTAGTTAGCTAGCTAGCTAGCTAGCTAGCTAGCCAATACAACGACTGGCAAGCAGCCGTAATGCAGTAGTACAGGCAACAGCAACAACCTCCAGCTAGCTATGTATATACCTATCTATCTACCTAGCTAGCTAGCTAGCTAGCCAATTAGCTAGCTAGCCAATTAGTTAGTTAGCTAGCTAGCTAGCTAGCTAGCTAAATTACCTGTGCTCCTCCTGTATGTGGTCCCTCAGCAAACAAAGAATTCGTCATATTCTCCACAACACCAATTACTCGTAAATTCACCTTACGGCTGTATACACACATTTATTTATTTATTTATTTATTTATTTATTTATTTATTTATTTATTTTATTTATTTATTTATTTGTTTATTTATAGCTAGCTAATTAGCTAGGTGGGTAGGATACAAAAAGACAGAGAGGAAGGGAAGAGGAGAAGACATCAAACCCTAATCAAACCCTAATAAACCCTCCTAAACCCTAAACCCTCCTAAACCCTCCTAAACCCTAAACGCTCCTAAACCCTAAACCCTCCTAGACCCTAAACCCTAAACCCTCATAAACCCTAAACCTTTCTAAATCCTAAACCCTCCTAAACCCTCATAAACCCTAAACCCTAAACCCTCATAAACCTGAAACCCTAAACCCTCATAAACCCTAAACCCTCTAAAACCCTAAACCCTCATAAACCCTAAACCCTCATAAACCCTAAACCCTCATAAACCCTAAACCCTAAACCCTAGAGGCTGACCAGAAATTGATTTGTTTTCTAACATCTTGTATGGCAACTTCTTGTGGTGTTGTGATGACCATCGCACCATCTGCCTCTAATAAACTACATAAGGATATATGCTCATCAGAGGTACCTGTATAAATAAATAAATAAATAAATAAATAAATAAATAAATAAATAAATATAAATTAATAAATATAAATAAATTAATATAAATAAATTAATATAAATATATTGATATATTAATTATTTATTTAATGGATAGATAGATAGATAGATAGATATATAGATAAATAGATAGGTAGATAGGTAAGGAGGTAGATATATATATAGGTGGCTAGCTAGCTAACTGTGTGTCCAATTAGCTAGCTAGCTAGCTGCATAGCTAGCTACCTACCTAGCTAGCTAGCTAGCTAGCTAGCTAGGTAGCTAGCTAGCTAGGTAGGTAGCTAGCTAGCTAGGTAAATAGGTAAATATCTTACCAGGAGGAGTATCTACAATAAGGAAATCTAATTGTCCCCAATTAACATTAGATAAAAAAGATTTAATTAATAAATTTTTCTTTGGTCCCCTCCATACTACTGCACTATCCGTAGACGGTAATAAAAATCCTATACAAAAATATATATATAAACCCTAAACCCTAAACCCTAAACCCTAAACGCTAAACCCTAAACCCTCATAAACCCTCATTAATCATAATAAATAATAATAAATAATAATAAATAATAATTCACCCTAAACCCTAATAAACCTTAATAAACCCTAATAAACCCTAATAAACCCTAATAAACCCTAATAAACCCTAATAAACCCTAATAAACCCTAATGCCTAATGAGTAGTAATTACTAACCAATAGAGATAAGAGAGAGATCAGGTCTAACATAAGAAGGTTCCCATCCATCAGCAGATTGGAAGATTTCTGCCTGTTGCTGCTGCAGCATTAATGGCAAAGAAGGACCACATAGGTCTAAATCGCATAGACCTACGGAGTATCCTAAGGAATTTAGTGTCCATCCTGCAGCAGCAGCAGCAGCAGCAGCAGCAGCAATAGATAAAGGAGATACAGGGGGAGAAAAAGGATAGTATAGTTCGTCTAGTTATCAATTGTTTATTTAGTTTTGTTTGGTTATAAGATATATATTATAACCCTAAACCCTGAACCCTAAACCCTAAACCCTAAACCCTAAACCCTAAACCCTAAAAAAACCCTAAACCCTACCTAATTGGGAGGCAACAGTTGATTTCCCAACTCCTCCTTTTCCTGATAAAATAACAATTTTATATTTAACATTTTTTAGCTTCTCTGCTACCTCTGGATTTTTTTGCTGCTGCAATTGTTCTTTTGTTGCTGCTGCTGCTCCTGCTGCTGCTGATGATGGCTCTCCTCCTGAAGCTGCTGCTGCTGCTGCTGCTGCTGCTGCTCCTGCATTATTCCCTTTTGCTGCTAGACAAAGACTACGGCCTGGGCAACCTGCACACCCTGCAGCAAGACCAGCATTTGCGCTCTCAGGCCCAGGGCAGTCTTCGGATATTTCTTCCTGCTGCTGCTGCTGCTGCTGTTGTTGTTGTTGTTGTTGCTGCTGCTGCTGCAGACGGTTGTATAGCAACATGCCGGCTGCTGCTGCTGCAGCACCAGCAGCTGCGCTAGCTACGCATAGCGCAGCAACGGATCCCTTTGAGATACTCATCTCTGCAGCATGCTGCAGCTGCTGCTGCTACTGCTGCTATTGCTGCTATTGCTGCTGCTGCTGCTGCTGCTGCTCAGAGGGAATGACAAGTTTGCTGCGTCTTCTTTTCTTTATTCTTTTTTTCTTTCTGCCTTTGCTGCTGCTCAACTTCTTTGAAGGAAGTTACAAGTAGAAGCCGCCGCAGCTGTTTGCTGCTGCTGCTGCTGCTCCTGCTCCTGCTGCGGCTTATCCGGAAGACTGAAGAGTTAAATAAATTTCTTCTAGAAGGCAAATTGTTGGTTTCAATTGATAAAGAAAAACGGCTGTTGCTGCTGCTGCTGCTGCTGTTGCTGCTGCCGTTGCTGCTGCTGCTGCTGCTGAAGGCAGCCCTGGGGCCCCCATGCAACACCGGCGGCAGCAGCAGCAGCAGCAGCAGCAGCAAGAACACCTAAGGCACGGGAAGAGCAGTCTGCTGCTGCTCTTATAAAAACCTGCTGCTAATTTTCCCTTGTCAATACACAGCAACAAACAGTATATACTATTGCTGCTGCTGCTGCTGCAGCAGCAGCAACGCATGCAGCAGCCGCTGCCGACTCGGAGGGGGGCGGTCGGATGC